CAGCAGCTTAGATATACGTAGAATGATACGATTGTTCATGAATGGTGGATTGAAGAGGATGTGGAAGGACATAGTCGTTGCCTAATTTGAGGTGGAGTTAGTTTCATTGATACGGATTCGAATTTTAACTTTTAACTTTAAATTTTAAGTTTTATTTATTCATTCGAAATTCCAGTAATAACCAGGTATACATGTAGAATTTGAAGTTTTCACGGCGGTGAGTCTGAAGATGGCTGTCTTCTGGGTTGTTGCGCCGTGTAGTCTGGTGGATGTTTACCGACGTTTCAGAGGTACTTGCTGCCTCCATGATCAGAGCAACGGAATATCATCTCCCTGATGATGGAGGCAGCAAGGATCTCTGACACGTCAGTAAACTTCAACCAGACTACACGGTTTAACAACCCAGAAGACGGCAATCTTCCACCAGGTAGACACTTCTTTCGCAAAGTTGGTTTCGTCATTTAGAGGGCCTCGGATTCAGTGTGGGGTACCTCCCGCATTGCATGAATACTGATTATAATAAATGGTACGGAATTTCTGTAAAAAAAAGAGTCCCTTAGAAATAAGCCACTTGAATGATCCGCGGAAGTTATTAAAAATTGGATTTCAGAGAATAGATTTCAAGGATATGAACTGAACTGACTCGGCATTGCGTTTAGTAGTGAACATCTAGTTTGGTCAGTGGTGTTGAACCTACGGATTCTGTTACGAGAGAGTTTGTTAGCTTTTCATGTTTTATCATACCCTCCATGCAAAGAATCTGCTGTCTTACCATGAATATTCACGCCATTTTCTCTGCCGTATTTCACAGATGCCATGTCTCCATTTAAACTCATACAACAGATGTGGCGAGATAGATAAATATCGATTGTGTTTGAATCATGAGTCATCTTTTATCTGCCTCTCCAGTTACTGATATCATCGAACAGATCACGTGAGGTATGAAGTGGCCTTTTAGTTAAACTAGAGGGGGAAAAGATAAGATACTAGTTTAACGTTTACCAAAATAAAAACAAATCATCTGCAATGGGGATATGTAAATGTCTACTGTAATTTCTCAGAGATTACGCCCATGGTCTGCTGTGGAGGTATGACACCTGGCGGGGAAAAACTTTTCTGTACCAGCAATTATTCGATACAGACATCCGCTATTTTAGTCACGTTCTGTATCTTATCTTAGTGATGTTCCGTTAACAGTTATGTATTTTAGTAATGTATCGCTATATTTTTCTCTGTTACTAATTACCATTGTTTTTATGGTTTTATTGAATGATGATGTGAGTAGCTCAGACTAATGTAGCATCGAATGACAGACTGATTAATGAATAACGAATAGAAAAGGATAAGGAAGGAAGCGGTAGAGGCCTGATTGTTTATTCTGTCCCGGCATTTGCCATGAGAGACTGAGCAAGACCATGATAATCCTCACTCATCACATTTCACCTCCGGGCCGAGATATGAAGCCGAGATCTCCCATATACGAGGAAACAGTGATGATAACTCTTTCCTTTTAATCGTTACGAAACTTTTTCTCAGAATATAATATTGCTGTTAACTGATAAGATCTGTTCTTTTACATTTGGGAGGTCCCCGTTTTTTTGGCTTAGATCGACTACAAGTTGTTTGAAGGATTTTTCTCAGTCGCTCACATCCAGTGATGGAACTGGTTCCTTCCTTAACATAGGCCACCATGCCTTTATTTCACTCCCTTAACAATATGCGTAGTAGGAAGATAAACCCTTCAATCGATACGTTCAGTTTGAAGCCTGTTCGCATACAGCACGAGTTTCTGTATAGAAAGCAATTCTGTTATGGCAGCTTCTAATTCAAGTTAATATTCACGGTCGCTACAAAACTAAAGAGTCTGTTGGCCGAATTTAATTATTACTTTATCGGACGATACCGTTGAGCTGTGAGCTCAGTCAATAAGGTGACACTACTGGACTATTCGATTTTCTGAGAGGGGGGGGTGTTGTCATTTTCTCTTAAACACAGTGTTCGCCGGTTTATCTTACCCCTTATCCAATTACTAAAGCTATAACAAGTTAGAAAATGTACACAGAGCACAGCAATTCTGGCCACAAGTTTGTCATTGACCTTTGACCCTAGCGCCACAGTACGCCATTGCCAGCAGTTCCCGAAGTCTGACTTTTTTCTCAAACGAAAGTAAGGTGTTTCTAGAACTGCCATGTTCTTTACAGATTTAGTTGTAACAAAACATATATGTAGGAGTGGCACTTAAGTCGCCAGGTGTAAAGGAAAAGTGGTACATATATTTTTCTGAACTGTATTCTCAGACACGTGCAAAGCCAGGTGTAAAGGAAAAGTGGTACATAAATTTTTCTGAACTGTATTCTCACACACGTGCAATGTGTTTCTTACGTTCAGAAGAGACATAAAATTTCACAGCAGTTCAACAGACGGCGAAAGTGTCTTATTTTTACAACGATTAAATCAATGAAGATTGGGTGAGTTGTTAATCTAGCATTAGGAGATGAAGACGCATACAAAACTTTCGTCTGTAAACCTCAAGGGAAAAGACCATTCATAACCTAGGAGTCGATGGGAGGATGATAAATCTTACTGTTAGAGAAAAAATCTCAAAAGGACGTACTTTGCTTAAATTGGTTCAAGTGGTAGGATTTTGTGATAACGGAAATAAACACGTGGTTAATAAAAGAGCTGTGAATTTATTTACGACCTAAGAACAGGTAACTATGATTGTTCTTAAAATGATTTAGTTGCATGAAATTAATGTTTATATTTTATGGGGGTAAACGAAGCAGCTTCTTGAAATAAATGATAAGCACTTTGTCAGTACGTAATTTAAAACGGATATGTTAAGAAATGGCTGACTCGACTGTTTATGAAGCAGCAAATTAGTACTGGCTTCGGCGAAACTGGGGAAAACTTCACCTGTGGTCGAATTGCAGTCACGTCTCTTTGAAAATCACAAGCAAAAATTCCTGGACGAGCAAACTTCTTGGTAAACCATTAATACAATCACGAAAACTTATTTCCATCGGAGTAGCAGTAAAATGTTTTGTGATGCTGAACAAACACGACTTCCAGCAACTTCAAATTTGTATACGTGAAATGTTTTCTATTTTCTGCCTTAAATGAAATCACCTGTTACTCTTGTACGTGAGTGTCGCGGTAAATTTACCTGCCTTAGCTGAAGTCACGTCGCCCTAACTGGAAGGGAAATGTATATTGAAAGTTGGCAGCAACATGCATACGAAACAAGAAAGCAAAATATATTCCAGTTTGAAGCTTACGCGTTTTCCTATTTAATTAAATTACTACTGTGGCGTAATATAAGGCGAGTCATAGTCAGGTTCCGATTTAATAGAATTAAAAATCTGAAACGAGCAAACTACGGTTATGATACGAAGAACATCATATCGGAGGAACTCCAAGTTTTCATAAAATGTACATTTTTATGAGTACTTAATATGGCCGCTGACAGTTTATTTCAGAGTTATAATTTTCTTAAATCGTGACCTAATTGTGACTTGTTCTGCAGATCCCTAAAAATCGCATTAATCTTTAGGCGAATATTTTTATCATAGTCCTTATAATATTTTTGATGTTCATTTGTTGCTCATACAACTCCAGTGCTAGCTACGAAAGTAATTAATTTCGGTGATATTACACAAAATGTTTTTAATGCGTTGGGTATATTGCATATCTAAAATTCTTTAAAGTAAAATTTATGTTGCTTGAAAATATATAAATTTAAATTACTAATCAGGTTTATGCTTGGTGAGCTGCTCTCTAGAAATTATGTTAAGATTGATTTAAGTTTCACGTAGCTTAAGTTATAATGTGTTTACTCCTTACAAATTCGTTATTCTGCTACACGTAAAATCAAAATCAAATGTTGCACAAAATGGTACCAGATGCAACTGTCTCTCCCGATTTACTGTAGTCTACAGTCGACGTCAGTAACATGAAGAGCTCCCCCCCCCCCCCCCCCAGACTGTTGTCTTCTGAGGTGTTGTGCCGTGATGATTTAGGCAGCAAGTGTTCGTAAACTTCTACCAGACTAGAAGGCACAATACTCCACAAGACGGCCATCTTCATATCAATAGGAAGTTACTTTTATATAATAAGCAATTCTTGCGTGTATGTAGATGGGAGACAGGAAGAAAAAAGTTTCTGAACTCAGTGGTACCAAGCATTTGCCGAATTTGGTCTATTTTTGATTTGTTTATGAACATAATTCTAATTTGTTATTGTAATTTTAAAATTTTGGAATGGATTTCATACTTTAATAAGGTTCAGTTTTGGTTCAATGAATATTTACTTCTAATTGTGTGAATTCTGAATAATTTTTCAAGTCTGAACTCAAACTTTGTTCGTAGATCGCTGTGCTTGCGACACAGACCGGTGGCGAGCTCTTGTGAACACAGCAGTAAACCTTTCGCGCTCCGTAAAAGCGAATAATTTATTGGGTAGCTGAGCGATTTTCAGCTTCCGAAGAAGGTCTCTACCCCAGAGAGTTAGGTAAATAAGTATGTAGGCACAACAGAAGAGAAAACTATTTTGGGAAGGATTGCTGAAGAAATGCGTTGAGAACCTGTAAATTTCGGAGACTCAACGATGGATCTAAACAATGTCATGGATGCCTAAGTTTGTCATCTGTCTCTTAAACAAAATCTAATTTTCACTACCATTTGGAATATTTATATTTTTCAAGCTTGATGATTCTATTTCTGCATCATTAACATACTGTTCACGTCATGTACACACAAATTCGTTACTGCAGGAAGAAATCTTAAGTTGAACGCTATCACAATACACAAAGAAGAAAAAAATTATACTTGAACAATACGCAAAATAAGGGTAAGAGTTATGTCGGAGCCATGTGAACATCTAATTTCGACTTTATTACCAAATTTAATCGACATCCGTCAGTTTCGGACGGACGGGTACTAGTTTCACCCCACGTGCTGGTACGTCATAGCGTTCAGACAGAGTACGAGGTATGTGTTTACCTGTGAAGATCGTGTCTGTGGCAGGCTCGAGTCCTGCCCAGCTGTGGAGCCGTGGTTCTGTGGACTCCCGGTGCGAGATCGCAGCCGGGCCAATGCGCTCCGGAGACCCTCCGTCACGCTACCGTAACGCTACCTTACCGATGGTTACCGCCAAGCACAGCCCCACTGCAACAGAACAGAACGTATGACGGACCGACCCGCACTAGGCTCTGTCCACTCACTGACAGAGGATATGTGTTAGCGGTACAAGCGGCCATGTGCCACTGATTCCTCCCCCTTATCATTATTTTTTGTATAGGTTCTCACCGCGAAGAATAGGCTACCTTGATCACCTGATTACCATGGTTACTTTGATTACCATGGCAACCTGAACAGTCCCGCGTGGAAAAATCACAGCAATACGCAACTATGTAGGGAATCCTCCACAATTACGTCATCACCCAGCCATTTAAGCTTCAGACAAAACACTCACGAGAGGAACATTAAGTCCCAGGTAACTCTGACGTAACTGGCTCCATTTTAAAAGGTCAAAGGTAACTTGCTCACATTAGTAAAGCAATATACAGTTATATATGAACATGTGTAGGAGTCCTGCTTACAGTATGTATGTGTATATTCGGTACAGTTTAAAAAAATCTCTTTCATGTTGGATTATATCAGTATCAAAAGCAGTTGGTATACATTTCACTATGTAAATAATAGTTCTGTTTGATTGCCATTTGGTCAAAGCTATGTAAATTTAGCGATTCAACGCGACAATTCAATGTATCGTTTGACTATTCATAAATGTAATAATTCTTTTAACATTTATTCTTTCTGACACTGCCATATCCTAATCCTTTAAAATCCATCTTAAAACCAAGTAATATTTTAGAATCATGGCTGCGAGTATGAAGATGTTCAGCTTCTATAATGTCACCCCGTGTAGTCTGGTAGTTTCCTGACGTTTTAAAGATGCTACTGCCTCCATGTTCTGGGCCATGAAGATGATCACCCTGATGATGGAGGCAGTAAGAACCTCTAAAACTTCAGTGAACTTCTACTAGACTACACGACAAACATCCCAGAAGACGGGCATCTTTCTGATTGTTGTCGTGGGAATCTGAAATCTCAAACCAGAAGACAAACGTTTGAATTTTAATACTGCCCTTAGATATATGCGTAGGTCTCACAAATGCTTTCTTCCCTGCAGGTTTTTACATCATAAGTCTCAAATAAAGCTTTATTGGCTTTCTCGAAGCTGTGAATTGTACATGACACGAAATTCAGACCTCTTTAAGATCTATAATTATTAAGAGTGCTTGTTTTGAAACTGGGACAGCTATTTTCATCCCCAAGGTTCCAAAGATAAACAGTCCATTCCTCTGATCCCGCAAGAATAATCAGATCACGGGTATCAGTTTTATAGACACTAATTGATCATTTTATTCAAAGTCATTACATGTCAGTTTTAGTTTACGTGATTAACAGTAAAAATATGGCGGTCGTGTGAAATATGTGAGCTGAGAACAAGAATACGTAGGGTCTCTAGATGTAAACGTATGAGAAATATAGGCCTACTTTTATTGGCAATGTGTTATGCACTGATAGAATGTACAAACATCATAAATTACGTTCTGTTTCGAATAGTGAGAAACGGTGGAACACTGTAATTCCATATATGTACGGTGGCATGGTATAAAGATACTGCTGGGAAAGGCCTGTTGAAATTCTTTACATCCTTGATCCCTTATCTCTTTTACGACTTTCCCTTCTTTTTTTGTATCTTCATCTCTTTATCTCCTTCCAAGTGTATTCCTTTCCCATGCCTGTCACCTCAGAACAACAGCGAAAAATCCGTAACACCCAGTAGCGTACTGTAGTTGAACGTTTTCGTCGCCTAAGTTAGAAGTCCTTCTGAAAGCTGCATAATAGAAGCATCTTAAAACATTTTATCATATTGCGTCATTATGATCATGTTTAGGCCCCTACAACTGCAATCAGACATGTATTTAAGTAAGCAAACATTAAAGAATTTTTATATAATTCAGGTATTCATTGTGTGGTATTAGTAGTATTAGTGTTTGATTTAGTCCTTAGTGCCCCACACCCAACAAATATGGTATCAGATACTTTTAATTCTTTCAATTTATGAACATTATATATTAGTATATTGGTAAAATATTTAATACGATATTATGGCTTCGAAATATTGAAAGCGCCGGTAGAACTCTCTCCCTCAGAAGACCTACAGTACTGAGGTTTTTACATGTTTATGTTTCATTTAGTTACCAATTACATTGATTGACCCAGTTCATAGAAGAAACATGGCAGTTCAATTTATTGAGAGCAGAAGCCACTATCTGCATTTTCGGTAAACATTACAGAAAAATTACGCAGAAATTTTCTATGGACAGTTGCTAAGGATTCCTCGCTGATTTTGCGTTTCCTCATGGACGTGTTAAACTGCGAATTAATATTCTGCTGTAACACCGTTAACATTTTCTATCATAAAAAAAGCGTTTCTTAGAAGAAAAATTAAAAAATGCATATTACACTATTAAAATCTTACGTTTAATTCATAATTTAGTTAATATCTTTATGTAATCTGTTTGAAACATGTAAGATTTGGGGTTTTCACATCGGTGAGCATGAAGATTTCTGTCTTCTG